GATCACAAGCTTTTCTCTTTAAAACCTCATTTTCCTTCTTTAAATCTTCATTTCCTTTCTTTAAATCCTCATTTTCCTTTTTCAAAGCATTATTAGACTCCTCATTCTTTAAAGAAGCAATCTCACCATTTAAAGAGGCATTCTGTTTAACTAAAACCTCATTTTGTTTTGAGAGAGATTCAATCTCATTCCTAAGCAATGAAATGGTTTTAGTAAGAGCAATATTGTCATTTCCTAGTTTCTTAATGTCATTCATAGAGCAATCAAGAATTTTGCATAAATCATCATAAGAATACTCAAATGAACTTTCATTAATTGAACTAGAGAAGTTAGAGTTTACCTCCTCATCATTGTAGCTGTCCCCTTGAGCCATGAAGCAAAGATTTGCAACACCTTTCTCCAAGGAACTTTCACTTTCCGTTGAGCTAGTCTCATCATCACTCCAAGTGGCAGCAAAAGCTCTCTTCTTCATGCTCTTCTTGCCTTTCTTCAAATTGGGACATTCATTTCTATAGTGCCCCATCTTATTGCACTCATAGCATTTCACACTCCTTTTGGTAGACTCTCCTTCATCTCTTTTTGTAAGCTTGCTCTTGATGTTCTTCTTCATGAATCTCCTCACTTCTCTAGAGATCAAGGTGGAGATGTTTTCACCATCACTAGCATCATCTTCACTCTTTTCCTTTTGGTTGCCAGCCTTGAACGCAACATCCTTCTTCTTCTTCTCAACTATTTCAACTCCACCATCACCTTGCACTTCTATCTCATATGTCATCAATTTACCAATGAGATCTTCAAGCTTGAGAGTGTTGAGATCCTTAGATTCTTCAATTGCTGTCTTCTTAGCTTCCCAACTCTTAGGCAAGCTTCTAAGAACCTTTCTCACCACTTCTTGAGGAGGATAGACTTTACCAAGAGCCTTGAGATTGGTGACTATGTCATTCAATCTTGTATACATATCTTGAATGCTCTCCTTCGGTTTCATCTTGAAAAGCTCATACATGTAAATGAGTCTATTGATTTTTTACTCCTTTACTTGGCTTGTTCCTTCATGAGTGACTTCTAGCATGTCCCACATCTCCTTGGCCGTATCACATCCGGATACTCTATGGAATTCCATTGGATTGAGAGCACATTGAAGCATGTTGATTGCTTTGTTGTTGATCATGATCTTCCCCAAGTCTTCATCATTGCATTCAACTTCTTCCTTTGGCACCTCTCTTTCTCCAACAACTTTCATAGGTACATATGGACCTTTTATAGTAACAATCCATGCCGTGGGCACATTTGCAAGCATGAAGACCTTCATCCTATTCTTCCAATAATTATAGTTAGTCCCATCAAAGAAAGGAGGTCTAGTGGTAGACAAACCTTCAAGTGGTTGAGAAGATAGAAATTGAGCCATCCCCGATCAACTCCTAGGTAGTTAAACCTTCAAATTGGAGCCCTTGCTCTGATACCAATTGTTGACTCAATGCACTCCAAGAGGGGGGTGAATTGGAGTTGGAGAATTTTCGCCTCTTTGC